TATTTTATATTGTTTCCATATTCGGTCTTTAAAATCCAGGCCCATATTTTACATTTATAGCACACCACAATTTGGATGTTCAATTTTAATGGGAATACTCGATCTGTTTTTAGATTTTATAAAACCGCGGAACAACCGTTGAAAAGGTAGATTCAGAGATTCAAGTTGCTCCCGACAGAAGCTTTCTGATAACTGGATGGAGGCTCAGTTATTAGTTATGAATTTTTAAAAGTAAAAAAAAAAACAGTAAATAAAGTAAAAATAGCCCCTCTGTCGAACTGGCCACACATTTCAAGCGACTCTTGGACGTGTGGCTGCCATATTGGACAGAGAGGATAAGGTTGGCTTTGTAGGTCAGGGGCTGACAAGAGCAGAGGTAGAATTGTGAGTTCGGGGTGGGGCTGAGCGTGTTACAACCCTGGATTTGGTGGATCAAGCGATCAAGATATGTGAGATCAAATGGAACCAGCCAGGGGATGACTTAGAATTCTGTCTTGAGTCTAGGGCCATACCACCCTGAACACGCCCGATCTCGTCTGATCTCGGAAGCCAAGCAGGGTCAGGCGTGGTTAGTACTTGGATGGGAGAATTCTGTCTTGGATTTCTAGGTGGCTGGTGGGACCTCCTCAGAGACAGGGACACGCGAGAGGTGGCAGGTCTGCCAGTGAGTGGAGATTGTGGGAGGTGGGTTCTGCAGACAGAATAGGAGCTCACAGAGCACCCTCACCCCTGCTCTGCCCCGCCACCCCAGTTCTCCTACGTGGATGCCGACGGGTCCCCGGTCAATGTGGTACAACTGACCTTCCTGAAGTTGCTGAGCGCCACGGCCCGCCAGCGCTTCACCTACTCCTGCCAGAACTCAGCCGCCTGGCTGGATGAAGCCGCGGGTGACCACGGCCGCTCCCTCCGCTTCCTGGGTACCAACGGGGAGGAGGTCTCCTTCAACCAGACAGCAGCGGCCACCATCAGCGTCCCTCACGATGGCTGCCGGGTAAGGGCACGGGGCAAGGGTTGGCCGGAGTGGGGAGGCGAGGCCTCCCCCCTCCCAGCCCCCACCACTCACCACCCCCATCTTCTCTGCGGTCAGCTCCGGAAGGGACAGGCGAAGACCCTCTTGGAATTGAGCTCTTCTCGAGTGGGCTTTCTGCCCCTGTGGGACGTGGCGGCCAGTGACTTTGGCCAGATGAACCAGAAGTTTGGGTTTGAACTGGGCCCCGTCTGCTTTAGCAGCTGAGAGTCTCCGGGGTGGGAGGGACAGTGAAGGAGCCCCCCAAGAAGGGGCACATTTGGTGCTGAGGCTTCGAAGCCACCGTATTTATCATTTCCTGTGACTCTGAAGACAGGGGATGTGACTCTGCTCACCGAGGTCAAACAGTATTAGTTCTCCCTTCTCGGGGGGCTGGGGGCTGGGCTCCCTTGGTCAAGGGGTCCCGCCTCCTCCCACTCCACTCCGAGTGGCATATTGCAGTCTGGCTCTCTCTCCCCTCCATCCCCCCCGACCCTCAATGTTCCACCCCTGGCCCCCCCTGCAACGAGCTGATGAATGAACGCCCCCCCAACACCTGCCTCCCCACTCCTCAGTCACTGCCCCCCCCCACCCTTTGGTGCTACCCTTCCCCAGAGTTAAGCACTGGATGTCCGCTGACCCCAGGCTGGAACCCTTCACGCCTTGCTACTTCCAGGTGGGTTCACGGTGAAGGGACCAACGTCAGATGACAGAGGGAAGTGGGACTTCCCCTGACTGAGCTGTGTGTTCCTTCTGCTGCCTCGGCCCAGCTCTGCGTACTCCCGCCCCCGCCCCCCATTGCTCCAAGCTCACCTTGCCATGCCAGGTGGTTTGGGGACCAAGACGCTGGGGGTGTTATCAGGATCCTAATGGTGCTGCCTGCCCTATTTATACTTGGGTCTGTATTAAAAGGGAAAAATCCCCTCTGTTGTATATTTAATCTGCTTCTTCCTTAGGGAAGGCTGGGACAGGGTGAGGGAGACTCCAGCACGACCCTACCCCCCCCTACACACAACACTCTCCCAGGCCATAGGGCAAAATTGGCATCTCAAGTCTGAGAATAAACCAATGAACTGTGCTCTGGTCTCTGTCTTTCATTTGATGCTGGCGATATCTCTCTTAGGGAATGGCTCTTGTCTCACCTGAGGTACCTACCGCCACCTGCCTTAATTAATTAGGTGTATTGTCTGTTTCCACTGGGAACAAGAGTGTGAGGGCAGAACCATCTCTTTCTTCTATCCCTGGCGTCTAGAAACAGTGCCTAGAATTCAAGAGAACTGCATGAATGAATGAGGAAGTCAATGAATGAATAAGCGAATCAGTCAACCACTGGGCACCAACACTCTTCATAGGGTCAAGACCCTTCGCAACATTGACTGAATGAATGAGAAAACCCAGGACAAGTATTCAGGTGGCTTTAGGGGGCCTGGTGGTGGGAATAGTAGGACAAGCAAACCCTGGGTTTTGGGGAGGAAACTCCTCCCAACCGGCAACCTCTACCCACCCAATCTCACCTGACCCAACTCAACTCACACCTGTCCTCCATCACCCCTAATTCAACCCAACCATGTCCATCAGCCGAAGGATGGACAAGCAAAACGTGGTCTACAATGGGACAGCATTTGACGTTCGAAAGGCATGAAGCATTGAAGCATGCCCTCAAAGCGAACTTGCCAGCCATTATGCCAAGGGAATGAAGCCACACACAAAGGGCCACGTGTTGTATGATTCCATTTGTATGTAATGTCCATTCTGGTTGGTTTGGGGTGGTTTGTGTGAGTTCGTGGTTGTGCATTAATGATGGCATCCGTTGAGTTAGAGGTTGGGGTGCAGGCGGGTTAAGAGTTTGGAATTGGCTGTTGGGTTGAATTACACTAGAGCTGATTTGAGAACCGGGATGGACTGG